TTTTTTTTCCAGACTGGATTTATCAAAGCTTTTTCAACCTCATCACAGACATTTACCTATGGATTCACTAAAATTGAGAGAATTATGAAAACTTTGTTTGTTCCTAAATTATATCTTTGGCCCAGATTTCATCTTGCTGTTAAGTCAAGTTTAGATAAAATAAATGTAATATTGTAAAATTCTGTTATAACTAGTTATTCTCAATTTTAAATGTGTTTATAATTTTAGCCTGAAGTTATAGAATTACATGTAGAATTAACACCTGCAATGTTAGAAATCCAAACATCTTTACTCGACCTTATAAATTATTCAATTAAAGAGTTAAAAAGACTTAATCCTTCGGTAGGTGTTTTTATCTGGTTTGGTATCATTATTTTAAAAGATGATTTTGGCTTAATATTATTTTATTTATAGCTTGATACTGAAGAAATTACAGTTGAAAACAGTATATCAAAATGTTTCCATAAAATATTACAAACACAATTAAACCCAATTTGGCATAGATTAAGTAGCACAACAAAGCAATTGGTGTCTGACCTTAAACTTCTACGAAATTTAATGATGTAAGTGGATAAATATATCCATATTTATCTATTTTTAACATACCATGTTTTTTATTTACATTTCAATTATTGATTTTTAAAATTTGTTTGAATGTGTACATGTTATAGATCTGTCACATCTTTAGATTCTGTCCGATTTCAATCCATGTTATCAAATTATTCTTCTGTAGATTATGTACATCGCAGTTCAGGATGGTTATTACTTGATGCTGCAGAAACATTATTTGTTACAGCTAAAAGTCGTTTGTTTAATTCTAAAAAAGGTATTTAAAATTTTTTTTAATAACTATATGTCAATATTATTGGTAATTTATTTTATTCAGAAATTTGTCCAGAACATAATCCAAAATGGGGAGGATTGACAGAAATTTTAAAAGAAATTGGACAGAATTCAAAAGATAATGGTGAAATTGTATTAGTACTTGTTCAATCTGCAAAAACCTGTTGTCAATTGAAAAATGTAATAGAATTAGCATAGTATTACTTAAACTATGAAAATTAGTATATATTTTTAGTGACTATATGGTATATAAAATATTATGCTAATACTTTATGGTCTTATAGCTTCTTGTCAAAGGAGCAGACGATTTACTCTTAAATTTATACAAAACACATATTAAAGATAAGCCAATAATGTCTACTCAAAAGAATACAACTAATGAAGAATCGGAAGTATATGATGATATTTTAAACGATGATGAGTTGGTTGAAGAAGATTTGAATAATTGTTTTACATTAACTCAGAGTAAAAATGAAGATGGATTGACGTTCACTGAATGTGCTAATGAATCTCGGGTATACTATAATTTTTTTTATTTGAATAATAATATGGCTAATGCCTAACTTATTCATTATTATCTTTTCCCTTGCTGAACCCCTTAGAGTATAGTAAAAATGATTGAAAACCTCACACTAAATATTACCCACCTAATAATAATAAATAAAGATAATTTGTGGACCCCTAAGAGTCTGCCGACCACAGTTTGGAAAATACTGATAATATATTATATAGTTTATAACARGGGTTGCCAACATTTCTAACAAATAAGCCATTTCAAAAATATTATATTATTATTTATAATATTACACTCTACYTAATAATAAATTGTGTAATAATATTCATCTTTTTTAATTTCTCCATTCAAAAATTGTATATTATATTCTTCAAAAAACCGCCTAGTTAGCGACCCCTGATTTATAA